ATGCTTAATAATATCTACATGGCCTACAACACAAAAATTAGAGACCGAGACCACCCATACCTAAGTAGTATCCCCTCAGTAGAAGAAATAAAAAGGGCACTGGATTCTTTTAAACCCTACAAATCTCCTGGACCAAATGGGCTTCACCCTTTCTTTTACCAGAAATATTGGAAGGAGACAAGCAAACATCTCATAAATTTCTGCCAAGACTCATTCAAGTCCAAAAGAATGCTTAAAAGCATGAATAGCACATTTGTCTGCCTTATCCCCAAATGCCAAAATGCTGAAACAATTAAGCAATTTAGACCCATTAACTTGTGCAACACGGCTTATAAAGTCGTCACTAAGATAATTATTAATTGTATTAAGCCCTTCCTAGCCAATCTCATCCACCCTACACAAACTAGCTTTATCAAGGGTAGAAGAGCTTCAGATAATGCCATAATTATGAATGAGGTACTAGACCACCTCAAAAAAACTAAAGGTAAAAAAACAAAAATGATGATCAATATTAACCTAGAAAAAGCCTTCGACAAAATTGAATGGTCTTTTGTTAGATTCTCACTCATCTCCCTTAACTTTCCCCCTGACTTTATTGAAATAATAATGTCCTGCATTTCTACCACTACCACAGCAATCCTAATCAACGATTCTAAAACTAAATTCTTTGAGCCCTCAAGGGGTATTAGACAAGGAGACCTACTATCCCCATATATCTTTATCATATGTATGAAAATGCTCTCTAGATTGATTAACCACGAAATAGATTGTTGTAGATGGGCACCAATCAAAATATCTCCAAAAAGCCCGGAGCTATCCCATCTATTCTTTGCAAATGACCTTCTTCTCCTAGATGAAGCCAACCAAAAAAGTTACAACTTGATTATAGACACGATCAACAAATTCTGTGGAGCTTCAGGACAATCTACCAATTTTGCGAAATCAAAAATTTGGTTCTTTAGAAATACCCCTACGGACTACAAAGATCACATTAATAACTGCTTTTCAATGAGATATACCATTAACTTTGGAAGATACCTAGGTTTTCCTATTCCCAATGCAAACCTACCAAAAAAGATTTCCAATTCATTCTAAACTATGAATACTAGACTAAAAGGTTGGAAAACAAAATTCCTAAATATGGCCATTCAATCAGCCCTTATCAAAGCAACCTTAGACGCAATCCCCAACCATGTTATGCATATATATGATCTCCCAAAAAAAACCTCAATAAGATAGATTCGATCCAAAGAAACTTCCTATGGGGTAGCACAGATGGAAAAAAGAAATGCCACCTTGTTAGATGGATCATAGTCGCAATGCCTAAGAAGCAAGGTGGTTTGGGCATTCCTAACACCCACTGGAAAAATTTCTCCTTCAATGCGGTATTAACTTGGAGATATAAAAAAGAGAAAGAGGCTCTATGGGTCAAAACCTTATCTAGCAAATATGATCATAGGAAAAGCAAACATTTAGGGTCTCACACTTGGGAAGTTATTAGGAAGGGCTCTATCATTTGCGATGTCAATACCAAATGGTTAGTGGGAAATGGGATGTCCATTAATTTATGGCAAGACAAATGGATCAATCAACTAGGAAACCATAGGGACTATATACAAGGTCTCATCCCTGCTAAGGAACTAAGCCTAAAACTCGCCAGTATTATCAAAAATAGAATATTCGACCTAAGAGATTTATCCTTTGAACTTCCCCCAGAAATAATCTCAAAAATCAATAGCACCTACATAAAACAAATTATGCCCGCAACAGACTCCTATGCCTGGGACTCTAAGGGATATAACTGCTTCTCCACTAAGGCTGCTTATAAGCAATCTCAGACAACAAAAGCAATAACAATAAAAACTACTCTTGGCTCTGGAAAACAAACTCCCTAAATAAATTAAAATATTTCCTATGGACAGTCATATGGGATAGGCTACCCACAAAACAAATGCTTGCCAAAACGGGGGTATGCCATATCGATACTTGTAGCATATATAACATGGAGACTGAGAACACTGAACATATCTTCTTCCGATACAGCTACTCCAGATCTATCTAGGCACAAACAAGAACTGATCACAACTTTTCTCTGAACCCTATTGATAAAGACTCCATGTTTAATTGGCTTAAAAGACATCTTGCCTCAAGAAAAACTTTCAATAACCACTTATTATCGGCAGACTTTCTTCCTTTCTTACTATGGTATATTTGGGACATCAGGAATGGGATACTCTTCCGAGGAAATAAATCCCTCCCCCCTTCCATAAGCCAACCCATTAGCGAAACTATTGAATACACCTTTCTAGCAAAAAACCTAGGCTTCAAACCTCCCAAGAAACCATTTTCGTAAAATGGGAGCCCCCCACTACGAACTTTATAAACTAAATGTTGATAGATCATGTGTAGGGAACCCAGGGGTAGGAGGATTAGAAGGGGTGTTCAGGGATAGTAGGGGCATTGGATCATGGGCTTCAATATGAGAATTGAACATGCTACTAACATATATACGGAAATCCTGGTCCCTCTTCATGGAGTCAAATTAGCATTAGGGGAAAACCTCATCCCAATAGTAATTGAGACTGACTGCTTGGAACTAATCAATCTTCGTAAGTCTAACAATTGTCTTTATCAAAATTTGATTGACGATTGTAGGTACCTATTGCAGAAGGCGAATGATCCACCTTTGAAGCATGTTTTTAGAGAGGCTAATGGAGTAGCGGGCCTATTAGCTAAAAATGGTTGTAATTTGGACATTTTTTGTATTTTGCAAACTTATGCTTTCCCTCCCGCTTTTATTTCCCATGTACTGGAAAGAGACAGTGTAGGCACTATGTTACCTAAACTGACCTCTCGTTGTAATAGTTCTTAGTATGTTGTTGTTTTAATAAATCATTTATTACCAAAAAAAATATAATAAACTATTAACTTCGAATTTCAGACCCCGAACAAGAATTTAAGTTACCAAAATTAACGAATTATGGTATTCTTGGTGAAGAAGATATGGAGACGAAGGAGATGACGGGCAAGGAGGCGAAATCCATTTATAAAATACGTCAACTACAAAAACATTCAATTAAACCCAATCTCATTAGGGAACACATCACCAGGGCGGCCCTTCCATAAAGCAAATAAAGCAACCGTTTTAGGTCCCGTATTTGTGGGGGCTCCATTTTTTGTTACACCTAATAGATTATGTATAAGTTTAAAAAAGAGTTTTGTACAGTGAAAACGTTTGATTTCTTTCTACCAAGAAAATTGCACTTGAAATAAATATCGAACCCGAATTTCGTAAGAAACGTGTGATATATAGGAAGTAACAATTTGATACAAATATTGATAATGAAATCTCAAAATCTTTCAAAGAATCCTTTAGAGTTGATTACTTTTATACATAATAGACAAAGCTATTTTTTCACTTCAAAATAGATTTGGACAATTCAAAGCATATGAAAATATTTTTGGTTTTCTATTTAGCAGTAAAAACTAATATCACTAGATGTTGAAAATTTAAAAAAATATTGCCTTAATCATGAATGTTCCTTAAAATGTAATAATCAATTCGATATTGATGGTTTAGATTTATTTTCTGAACTAAAATTATTATGGAAAATAGTACAATTAGAAGATAACAGTTTAATTAATACACTTAATCAAATAAAAATATTTAATTCTTTTCAAAGTGCCTAAATTGCTTATGGAATAATGTTAATAACGCATGTTGACGTTGCTTCAATGGAAAGAAGTTTTCAAAATTAAAATTGATAAAATTTTACCTAAGAACAACAATGGCACAAGAAAGATTAAATGGATTAGTTATATATCAATTGAGAAATACTTATTAGGAGTTATTGATTATAAGAAAATTATTAATAACATTGTATATAAGAAAAGCTAAAATATAGACTTCAAATAAATAATTAAAAAAAATTAAAAAGTTAAGATCCCTCATAAAGTTTGGCTTTAGGCCCCAAAATTCGTGGGGTCGCTCCTGCACACCACGCAATTTTTTGTCGGGAAACTTACACAAATATCCCAAATAAATCTCGACTTACCAACATCTAGCCATTAGTCATAGACTTACCAAAACTAGCCAACAAAAATTGATAAACCAAATAATAGGGTTCTTTCTATCAAAGAATCACACGCAAAAATCACCTTCCATATTTTTAAGCGTGATTAGCAACATTAGATACAAGGCGGAAAGGAAATTTCATGGACGGGGTAGCAAATAAGGTGATGAAATATAAAAATCTATACAATATTCCAAAAATCTAAACAAAAAAGGAACTTTTTCAATGGATATAGTTGAAATTCATTGAAAATATAAAGATAAGTCAATATACAAAATTTGAGGAAGATTGGAGGTGATTTGGACTGGTTTTGTATCAAAATTCGTAATTAAATCGAGTTCAAAAAAGTCTTCTGCGACACATGTATCAAACATGTATCACGCATGTATCTCACACACAGGTATACATGGATATACATGTGATACACAATTGATACAAAGATGATACATATGTGATACATAAATGATAAACAGTGTGATACACATAATTTTTTTTCATGTTCAGCTTTTACTTCGAATTTTCAATTCAAACCACCTCAAAACTTCACCAAATCATCCCAAAACTGAGATTCAAGCTCCTTAAGTTGTGCCCAATCTATTCTAATAACACCCACTCAAAACAAAGCAAAAATTTGATATTTTTTTGCTACAAATAGCTAATTGGCTAATATTAGTAATATTTTATCAATTGGCCAATTTATATAATGAGCTACTTATAAATGGACATAGCTGGTAATTTCCCTTTTTTTCACTTGACAAGTAATATGCATTGGACCCATAAATTTTGGATCCGATAAAAAATTCGCCTACTCGCATTTTTTTTCCTCTTTTTGTTGAGTCTTTAAAGTTAAGATTTGGTCTACGTAATAACCCCAAATATATTGGTCATATACTTGGTTTTGGGATGGGAGGGAGGTATTAAAATACATTGATTGTGTAAAATTTTACACTGTCAATATATGTAATTTACATCCGAGGAAAAAATGTTGCTCTTCTTTGAACATCTCTAGGTAGTCAAACATTACGAAAATTACAAATACTGTAAGCAAATATGCAGAATTCTGATGGGTCTTCACTCTATTAGTATCCCTATTCTGTTAATCTTCATTGTTTCAGAGCATATCCAAAGTTGCCATCGAAGTTATATCTTTAAGAGGTCAGGCTACAGCAGTGTTATCAAAGGCGAAAAGCGCAAAAAAGCTCTAAGATCCGTTGGGGCTTTAAGCGCAAAGTACAAATAAAGCATGAACTTTAATAAAAAAAGACGCAACTGGAGAAAAAAATAAAAATATGTATATGTAGTCTAAGAACAATAATTATAAGCGTGAATAACAAATATATGAACAAAGAAATTTTAAAGAAAAATTTACGATAAAGTGAAACATCAATTATTTAGTGCCGCCTTTTCAAGATTACACTCATTGGCGAGGAAAAGTACGCCTTAGAGCCTTGATGCGACACTGAAGCGCCCACAAAGCGAGGCAAAGCGCTCAACATGTTTTGAGTCTCGCTTCAGGGCTTAAGCGCACCTTTAACAACACTGCGCAACAGGACTTGTGCTTTCTTTTTGCTATATTGAATAATGGAGAAGTTGGATGAAACAGCTAAATACGTGAAATATGATTTGAAGGTCATGCGTTAGATGCTAATCAGTTATGAATCATTTTATCAGTTATATCACTTGCAGCCAAAGAGAAGTGATTTTGAAAATAAACCATTAATGTGAAATAAGTTAGATAGAAGCTAGAGGTCAAAGCAAAATACGTATAAAAATCATCTTGACCTATACCCCATTTGACTAGAGAAGGTTACTTTGTTATAACTTTGTTTAACAAGAATCTAACAAACCAATCATTTGTTGAATCAAAAAGAGATCCGAATTAGTATGGGAAGGTACATTTGATGTCTACATTCCTTGTATTCTTTGAGGAAATTCTAAGCTTCTAACTCTGAACAAAGGCTTTCAGCTAATATACAAATAAAATTGTGAGTCTCGGTGTTTCCTTTTGGCTAAGGCAGTTCTTAGAAACTTACATGGTCACAAACTCACTACTCCTTGAGAGAACAATAGCTCTTGGAGCAGGAGCGGAGCTACAGCTCAATCTATGGGTTCTGCCGAACCCAATAACTTCTGCCCAAACACTGTATTTATGTTTAAAAAACCATTTATTATATATAAATAATTTATCCAAAACCTAGTAAGCGAAACCCATAAACACAAATCCTAGTTTCGCCTTTGCCTTGAAAGGGGTAATCAAAATATAAGATAGACTCTACAGCTACACATGGTTAAGATTACCTAAGAACTTTTGCGAGTCCTACACCGTTACATGCAAAGTAGACACAATTTGAAAGGGAATAATGAAGCCCAAATGCAATGAGGAGAGGGAAAATATGTACCTCGGAATATAGAATTGAAATTTAAATTTGGCAACACTTTCAACGTACACCTGTAAAAAAAATTATAAAAAACGGAAGGGAAAAAAGAGCCTGCAAGACTGAGGCAGCACAAAAAGTGAAACAGGGTATCTACCAACCTATGACCTAACCATAATGAATTCCGATTCACTACATTTTTCAACTGTATAACCTAACCTAGGAAGACAGCATATACAGCTCAAAGGTAATCAGTATTTACAAGACGGTTGGTTACCCGAAATAGCACAAAGGAATAAAGAATGGAGGTACTGCAAAAACTCATTGCTGCTTTTTCCTCATTGTACGGTGTAATTGACATGACCATGCAGCCAAAAATATCACAAGGCCAATGCTCGTGCATGTCCAGAAAACTACTAGCCAATTAGGCATGGGATCTGGAAATAATCCTGAAAGATGGCAGAAAGGGATGAGATAACTGTAAATACACAAAATAATGAGATACACCAAAATGAGAACTCAGAATGCAGTGGAGTACTGACCATGTCCAAACTTGACGCAGATTAGGAGTTCAACAATGCAGATTGCTAGTGCAAGCCAGCAAAATGCTCCCACCTTTTTCACCGGTTTCCTGTTTATAATGTGGAGTATGGGGGGAAAAAGTGAAACACATAGAAAACAGCTGCCAGACAATGGAAGAAAAATACACTACAATTCATAATTCTTGCAATAAAATACTAGGATTTACCTGTCCTGTAGGTAAGTATTATACTCCCGAATTGTTGGTATTGCAAGTAACCACCACAGAACCAACCTATACACTATTAGGGGGTTTCTGGGAGGAACCCAAAGGCAGAACTTTAAAAAGAATGTATTCAATTCTACCGTCAAGAACACAACACAGAGACTGAGAACTTGAAGGAATCGCCAGGGACCAAGGAGGGGATGCCATTCATCTTTATCCCAATGCGCTGGAGTAAATTGCCCAAGTGTTCGCTTGACCTACAAAACCAAAAGGAAGCTATAAATGTCTAACGAAAAACCATTCATACGGCTGTCAGACTAAACTTTTCATATTCCTCCAATGAAATTTGGAAGAACTGTAGTGCTGAAGTCAGATACATAATATACAATAACTAACTCAAACACTTTACAGCGACACCTTTGTGCCAAAAGCTCCAAGCTCCATGTACCCAACTAGAACTAAATCAATCAATCAATTAATCAACTATACCTTAACTCCAACTCCAAACTAGTTGAATTAATTTGAAGTACAGAACATAGAGTAACTGCATGTGCTCCCAAGGGTGTGGCCTAGTGGACAATGAAGTGGGCGAGAACCATGAGGTCTCAGCTTCAAATTCTAGCGGAGGCAAAAGACACTAGGCAAAAGACATTTGTCAACAAACTGCTCAAATGTTGCAGTATTACGATGTCTCAACACCAAACGCATTAAATAAACTGTATGAGACAATTATAATGTCAGTTATCTTTAAGCATAGAGAAAGAACATGCAAACAAGCAAATCGTATAACACTCAAAACAGACACACTTTTACAACCAGGGTATACAGTTGAAGGGACACACCTTGCCTATAATATTTGGCTGGCGGCTTATACCAACCCACTCATATGTTCTTCCATCAAAATATCGAACAGTACGCATTCCAGCCCAGATGCCTATAGGAAACCAAAAAGGTAAAGTTTTAGTATATTTTATCAATCTAAAGAACAAGTCAAAACAATACCATAACCAGACATACCATAAGATAAGATAGCTATGCATATAATAAAAATTAATTGTTTCTTATAACCACCCCTTGTAATTTCACTTAACATGCAAGTATCATATTGAGGCATGGTAGTGAAATAACATCTAAGAAGACTGGACACCATCTTGGCATCACAAATTTTTTTAATAATTTTTTCTCTAATCTTCAGACTGGTTCTTGAAATTTGGCTACAAGAATGACATTAAATGTGCCAATTGATACCCAATCCAATAACATTGTCCATAATATAATTGCATCATTGCTCGGATGTGGCATGTCCTTTATGGCTTGTTCTGATAGCATATACATGTTATATACAACACTGTCCACACACAACACATGTATAAATATATTTAAATCATCACTAAACTGTTCTGTCTCAAATGTATGTAACAATATAGTAGCGACATAAATATTCATCAGACAAATAATGAAGCATACGACATCAATTAAGATAAGCATGTCCAAATATGTCCATCTCATAACAGCCCAAGAGAATGGCTCTAAATTTCTCACCAAACCAGTTGCAGATCAATATATCCAGAATAATGCTGTCCCACCAACACTCATTGAAGTTTGGTAACATGTGGCGGAAAGTAAGCTGAAAATAGCAGTGTAAAGATAAGTTATAACAAGGAAAATAATCAGTTAACCACTTGCCTAAGATGGTCGTATTTAAAAATAAAAAGCCGGTGCTTAAAGCATTTGAAAGAAGCCATAGTGGCTCTGACCTCCATCAACTCGAACCCAATGGACAAGACCCACAAAAGAGGCTGATTACGTATCATGATGGCCTTGCCCCACCACCCTAATATATGAGCCAGAACAAACTCATCGAATAATGTGTCCTACAAAGTAAATACACTCCTCAGAGATGTCGCAAAGTCCAGACTATTACTTTTAGTAGGCTCAATGCATACACGCAGACCAAAATTAATAAATAAGAAAAAATTGAGGAGGTAAAAAGTAGTGCAAAGAGAAACCATACATAGACATTCTTAAACCTGTTCATGGGATTTTCAGGTACATAGAGCCTGCAATCACCACCATAAGATCTTTCAGGAAGTTCTGCATAGCAAGTCAAATTGGTCTTAGCTATGCTACAAGCAAAACATGCAAAACATATGAACAGAACGGACTTGCATGAACTGAACCACAAACTTTCTACGAGTAGATCAAAATCCTTACCAATACCAAGATCAGGGTGCAGATATCTCATAAACTGACGAGCATCATCGCGCCTCTGAGAAAAGAAAGGAACAGAGTTTTCATATTCACAATTTAATTAAATGGCTGCAACAACACATGAATAAATATAATAAGAAAACAGAGATGTAAGAAACTAAAGCTACTGATTGATTAACACCACGGGTAATAAGAAACGACATCTGCTTACCAACCCACCTGGAAAAGTAAAAATGTCAAAGCAACAAGATAAATGACAGCCATTCCATGAACCAGGCGCCAAATGGCAGGATGTGGTCTAATAAGTACCCTGTAAGAAAGAACTGAAAAAATTAAGTGGGTAGAAAGCTATTGCCACAAACTCCACATAAATTTGCTCTTTGAGGTCCACAAGGAGAAAATCAGGTGAATTCTCAACCACACATTTAAAGCCAGAGGAAAATTCAAGTTAGTTTACAATTACATGGTAGAAAAATTCCATCTTCAAGTTCAAAGAAGAAAATAAAATTTAAGAACACGACTTCCTGGACTCGCCTAGTTGAGAATTGAGTAAAAGAAGCTCCATAAAGAATCCTGTCAAAATGAAGAGAGAATATCACCCAAAGAATTCTACATGTGCTCCTGTATCAGAATTTGGCGGGTAAATCCTTTCACTGCTCGCATGGTGAACAATACAGACATTCATGCCAGTAATAACCACTAACTCAATTTTTTTAGGCTATAGAAACACCCAAATAGTCTTAACACAAAAATACCCAAAAAAATCAAACCGTACATTCTTAGACAAATAAATTGTGAAAACTTACGTTGAGGGGGCTTGCAGCAAAGAGTAGGCAAGATAAACAGCAACCATTGCCCAAATGCCCCTAACAGATGAAGGGGAAAAAAAACAATTACTTCAATTTCTCACACATGATTAAGAAAAATGATTGGATAAAAATGTACTTAAAATGGCAAACCTTTTCACAGAAGTAGAAACGTCACTGGATGAAGTGCTTTGTGGATCAAGAGCTCCACTTGCCCAGCTGCAATAGTGATGACATAAGCAAGTCAGAACATACACATATAAACTCATGTCCAACATCAAATCGCATTAGCTTTCAAAAGTTAGGAAATTCTAGGAAATAGTGTACAAGAAATGTATAAAGCATCAATAACCACTAAGTAAGGATTCATAGCCCAAGTGTGCTATATGCTTTGGCTGTATCACAATATCACTCAATAATACCCCAGAGCAACTGCGTTTTTTCTCTTTTCCAGAATTTTGGTAAAGAAAGAGTAAAATATGAAAAGCACCTTATATTTTCCTGTAGAAGAGAACTATCAAATGACTAATCAAAGAAAAGAGGAAAAGTTAATGATTTTTCCTATGTCTTTGACATGTCATATGCTGTGCTCAGGAGGTCATATTGATTTAATTACCAAGATGTACATTAAAAGAACACGAAATAGAAAATAATGTCAACAAAGTGATCAGATCCCTGAAATGGAATTATGGAATGAAAATTGGCAGTCAGATTTCAGAAACCAGGGACCACATCACAAGATTGACACAACTATATCCACCATGAATCTTTAGATCAACAATTTGATAGACTTATCAAGAAGTGTTTAGCTACACTCTTTGTGGAACAGTCTTATCAAAGCTCTCTCTTTAACCAATCAAGCAACAGATGGAATGAAAGAAAGAAAAAGTAGCTCCGCAGCTCGCCCAAAAAAAGATAGACCGCCACTGATTCGCCAATCCCTGGTCTTGGCCAAAGACATACCCGGCATACCAAGACTACGATGAATCATCTCAGTTCCTCAACGGGCTTAGTCCCTAAATCCCTAAACCAAATCGGATGTTTATAATCGTGATCATGCCCCATCAACTCTTTCAGTCACTACTACTTGTGTCGCACCTAGAGTTGCAGAGAGTTTGATAAGACTCTCGAATAAGAAAGATCAATCTTGAATAAGCTTCAGCTGATTCTCATTATATATCTTTTTATAAGAAAGGAGCTATCTATAGGAAGATAATTTTTGCCATGGTCGGAAAGAAGCTTGCCCCAAAATTCATTTGAACAGAGAAAACTTTCTACATGTATTATAAGAGTACTGGTCCTGTCAAATGGGGATTTTACGGGAGGGACTGTTATTATGTGGTTGGGTTTTCTTTCATCATTACTTTACTTCTCCTTCATATATAATTAAAGATTTCAAACAACCAAAACAGACTGAGTGCTGAAACCCAGGAAAATGTGGTCGTATTTCCGTTCCAAGAGAACCTCAGATAAGAGGGATAGAAAATAAATATCTAACAAAATTTAATGTAGCTCAATTTCTACCTACATTAATATCCAAAGTAATAGATAGACTGCAGATAATTAAACTTGATGAGACAGGATTCAAGATATAGACTTTAGAAGAACCAGCTGAAAATAAGACAGTAATTAGAAACCTTTTAAGAGCTTCATCGAAGTCTGACGAATCAGTCAAGAAAGAACTAATTCCTAAATTTTATAAACTAAGATTTATAGAGCCTGTTGACTAAGAAACTTACATGAGCAAACATGCACCAATAAGCAACAACGTAATAGTACGAGGTTTGTATGCCCAAGCTGTCCACGGGTCCAGCTCCTCATCTATACTCAACGGGCTGTGATTACCATTTAGGGTAACAAGATTCTTTTTGTTACCCTTTCTGTAACCATTAGGTTCCATATGTCTGGCCTCACCAAATTCAACTCCTTCAGCCCCTTCACTGCACACAAAATATCAATGGGTCCAGAGTTACATGTCAACGTAGACGATTTCAGAAGCAGATAATGGGAAAGCCAACAGCACGCCAGCAGATATCACAAATAAAGAACATTCTTATTGAGCTAAAACTCATATCGACTTATGCAAGTCCCAAGATGTACCTTCCTAGACAATCACACAATCCAGAATAAGGAGACTTCCTTCCATAAAATACAAACAAAGATGAGGACATAAGTGATTCGAAGAGGTAAATAACAGAAAAAACAATCTCAAAGAACACGACGAACTAAAGATAGGAATCAAAACGATCTCATGTTTGCCTAAAATTCTATTTGACTAATATGTGTTACACTAAAAACTATACTAGAAAGTCAACCTCAAACAAAAAGGGGAAAAAATCAATATGGAACCTTTTGTTCCTATATTGTTTTGGCTTCCTTTTGTATATAACCTACCTCTAAAGAGAGAGAACTCGGAAGCATGAAAATTAAACAGCAACCTCAAAGAAAGGGCAGCCTAGTACACTAAGCTCCCGCTATATGCGGGATCCGGGGAAGGGCCGGACCACAAGGGTCTATTGTGCGAGAGCTTATCTTCAGCAACTATCAGAATAAAACTACAAAAATCTTCGGTAAAACAAGAAGTGACTGAACGCACTACATAAAGAAAGAAGCAAATAAGCAAATGCAACAAACCCCACAAAGCACAATAGCCATTTTAATACAAAAATCAAAAGAAGTCAATGTAATTGGCTATTACAGGAACATTACAATCAAAACAGACAGAAAAATCACTAATGGAAACAATTGCGAACAAACCAACAGACTCCATACCTAAAATTCTTTACTAGAACCACAAACAAATAGCGATATAATCACATTAATCAAATAAAAGTTGACTCTTCGTCAACACTTGGGACATAAAAGCCTGAGAGATAGAAAGATAAAACACCTAATCTTCTTCTTTAAGTTGATGAAACAACTCAGTTCTCGGTAAAGAAATGAAAGTGGGGTATCCAGCTTGCAATGGAAAATCACAAATTGAAGAAAATAACAAAAGCCCAGAATTCAAAATAACTCAAAATTCTCTTGCAAAGTAGGGGTAGAGTATAGTGGTACAAAACTTACCAGTTTCCGGTCTTTACACCAACTCAATGAATATATAATACATGCCTTTATACACACTCTTATCACTATACTATAGTTAAGAGTACATGTCAATGACGAATTCCAAATATGGCAACAACAAATAGGTAATAGTAGGTAATGTAACGGCTAAAGAGAGAAGAACCCATTATTTGATACATTAGTAAATGCCAATAATACATTAACCTATTAATACACTTTTTTCTGTCTGGCACTCATTGTTTTGAGAATCAAATAACTCTATCATTCACTTCTATTCTGTCAAGACTTATCCAATCATTAATAAAGTCGGCAACTTTTATTAGTACATCAAATGAATGAATCAATACTCCATTCCATTTACATACCAAAATTAAATGCTTTGACTTTGTACTTCAAACCGTTCAATCTTTTTCGAAATAAAAGGAGCATACATATAAATATATTTATAGATAGAAAACAGTAGCTAAAAATAGGAGGTAACTTACGTAGAGAAAAGCTGACAAATCCTTAGAGTCGTAGGATTGAATGAAGAGATGAATTTGAGGGGTAGGATCAAACAAAGGAGGGCGATAAGAGAATGGGGATGTGATGGGGTTTAATAGTTAATTTAAGATTTCAAGGAAAAGGAAAGAGGCTTTAATAGAAATGGAGACGAAGAAGGATTAGAAATGATAGACTACGAAAAAGGAAAACAAAAGGTTACGATATGTATATATATATATACAGAAAAAGGTGAAGGGGAAGAGAGAGAGAAGAAGAAAGGAGGGGTTGGG